CCGATGCAGACGCTCCTTGGATTTTCACCAGAGCCCTTGTTAGCGGCGTGTGTGTCAGACCTGTCCGCCTTTGGTGGCCCTACCAGGAACGAAGTTCGGCGGCCTCTCTGACACTACCGTTTACAAACCAACTGTGAGGTAAGGGTTGGACTTTGGGGGCTTACAGTACCAGGTGTTCCCAAGCGGTCCCCCATCTAAGTACTGACCTGGCTCTACGATGCTTAACTTCAGTGATCGAACGAGAACCGGTGTTTCAGCGTGATTTGACTGTAAGCTATATATATATATATATATATATATATATATATATATATAAACTCTACTGTCATTTTTTATGTATGTGGGTCATGCAGCTCAGTTCTTAGAAGCAACAGCAAGACTACCCAAACATATCATTGGTGAACCAACCACACTTTTTGGAAGAGCCAAATACAGAGAAGTGGTGCACAGTATGCCACAAGGTCCCCAAATGAGCCTCAGCAGGTTTTGAATTTTTCTCCTCCTATACTGGTTTCTAATAGAGACCAATCTGTTTTGTTATTTACTCATGGCTGCAGGAGGAAGAGATGTATTCATAGCTTTCCCAAGGTTATTTGCATATAAATGAATGTAATGAACTCAGCTATAATTCAAACTTGGTTCTCTGATTCCTCAATCTGGGACAACTAACATTATTCCACCATGCCTCCAGGTATACATATGAATATTTATTTTAATCCTCTGAAATTCACGGATCAATTTCTTAATGTTGTTAATAAATTTATTAAGGAAGGTGCTGTAGTTTTCTTCATTTCTTTTATTTTCCCAAATACTTTTCAATCCCAATTTCAATCAAATAAAAACAAAAACTTCAAATTCTTAAAACTTTAACAAAAATTACAATTATAACAGCAATGTTTTAAAATACTTCAATTGTAATTTTTTTAAATTTACAAATATACATTAAGTTACCCCTGCCTTAGATAACATTAGTTTTTGAATTACCAGAGCATGTTTCATGTGCATTTATAAAAAATTTACAACTATCAATTACATTAATTTTCTTGTTAATTAACCCCTGAAGATGATCTTGGATGCGATTTAAAGTAATTGGAAAAATAAAAGAAATAAATAATGTCTAAATTATTCAACCAAATATGCTTGAATGAAGATATGTTGCCTAAATATATATATATATATATATATATATATATATATATAGACAAAGTTTAGAACACTATTTGAGTTTCCTGCTACTGTCTCTTTTTGATTACTATATATATATATATATATATATATATATGTAATGGTAGAAAAACAGAAAATATAAGAAAACAAATAATAGAAATATTTAACAAATTAAGATTTACAATAGACATAAAATCTAATTTAAAAATAGTAAATTTTCTAAGCATAACATTTAATTTAAATAACAGTACATACAAACCATATAAGAAAGCAAATAATAATCCCTTATATATAAACAAAAATTCAAATCCCCCATCTAATATATTTAAGTATGTACCAATATCTGTTAATAAAAGAATTGCTGCAAATACTAACAATATAATAATATTTAATGAAAATAAAAAATATATGATTCAGCATTAAGAAAAAGTGGTTATCTGAATAAATTATAATGCATAACTAACAATAATATAATACAAAAATAAAAGAAAAAGAAATATAATTTGATTTAATTCACCTTACAATAATATAATAAAACAAAAATAGGAAAAATATTTTTTAAATTAATTGAAAAACACTTCCCTAAAAATAGTAAACTCTCAAAAATCATTGATAAAAATACAATTAAAATCATTTATAGTTGTATGAATAATATAGAGAAAATAATAAATAAACAAAATAAAAAATATCAAACAAAAATGCCTTTCTCCCCTCGAATTAGTAAGACTTTTCTCAACCAAAACCATTTTTGTCTCCCCACAACCAAAAAAATTTCTTACAATCTAAAAATATTTTCTGACTTTAAATAATCTGTTGATAAGCCATGGAAAACGAATCAATCAATCAAAATAAGTAATTGTTTTGGCTAATATTTTTGACTTTAACATCTTGCCATTCCATTCTGCAAGACATTCTTTCTATTGCTACATCACAAGAAATGTGCTGGACATTTTCCATTAAAGATAGCTAATTCATCAGAATTTATTTCAATCTAACCTCTGCACCAAATTCCTCCACACTGCATCATTGAAGTTACATCATTCACTGGTTCCATGTGAATTCATGTCAATCTTATATAAACGAAGAAATAGATGAGTTTTCTTTGGTGCTTTACTTTCATGTCAGATTGTTCAATTACCCTTGCTTTTGTCTTATCAAATATTGAGAAAAAGAAAATAGTGGTGCTGTCATATTTTTAAACCTTTTCACTGAATAGAAGAATTTATTTTTACTGGAATCTTCATCTGTAAAAGAAGCTAAACAGAAACCCAGAAACAGTCAGATATCAGTTCCCCCTTAGGTACTTAATGCAATTTAGAATTTAAGTAAAGAAGCATTTTTTTCAGAGCCAGAACTGCAACACCTAATCATTGCACACCTATTTTCTTAGACACAGAAAAGAAAATGCTGGAACCACAACAGAAGATAGTAAAGGAAATCTAAGTACGATAAACACAAACTAAAACTATAATGTGTTGCTTCCAGTGGAATAAGGAGTTTTTGAAATAGGCCTCCAGTTCAGGTCTTTAGTTGTTCCTTGTGAGTCAAGCAGGTTGCTTGTTTTAAAGTCTGAATGATAAGGCAAGACAAGGAAACTTGGGGATCACATCTAGATACTTAGGAATGTCCTGAATCAGCTTCTCTTATTAATGCCAGTCTATAATGTACAAAGAGTGATGACCGTTGCCGAGGCCCCCAGGCTTCACTAGCTGAAAGTCTTTTTTTCACCATTGATCTTAGGAAGCAGTTTATACAGCTGACCATTTAGATATTTTTGAACGGATTTGGCATCTATACGAAAGTCTTGATCTCACAAGGCTATTTAAGAACATGGCATGATTTTTCAGGTTGATATTTTGGTTTCATAGCAATTTGTGGTGTTGGGCAAAACTAACTCTGATAAAACAGCCTATCCTATGTTCAATTTCTTTTTCTCCTATACTTAATTGTTACAAGTGATCTATATGCTGAGGTATAAGTTTAAAAGAATATCATGTACAGAATATGTGAGCATTGAGGAAATATCTTAAGGAAGATAGAATCAACAAAGAAACTGATACGGGTTAAGAATACTTTATCCTAAATTCTTGGAACTGGAAGTACTTCAGTTTTTAGATATTTTTGGATTTTGAAATACAGGCTATATAATTTGTATATAGCATCTATAAAATAGAGCAGCTTGGGAATGGAGCCCAAGCATTAACATGATATCCCTTTACATTTTATAAAACAGCTTATACATATATCGTGAAGGCAGTTTTATATAAATAACATATACCCTGAAAGTAGTTTCATATAAAATTTAATAAATTTTGTGTACATACATATACAGGTAATGATGTTAGTCACATGGATTTTTAAGTTGTGAAGTTAAGCGTTCATGTAAAAATAATGTTTTGTACTTTCTGTACATATACAAAAAACGTGATCACTACTTACAAAAATATATAAATGCAGGACTTTTTGACATGTTGAATAATATCTTTACTGAGTATGAAACATTTGGTAAGTAATCCATGAAAAAAGGTGTGACAATCACTAACAAAAAACTGGCACCAACGTAGGCTATGTAGCTGGGATGGCAAACTCCTCACCCAGGACAGATGCACATCATCTAGGAGCCTTCCCAGCGATTTCTGAAATTTTCCATTTCTGGCAAGTCATGTCAGCACTTGAAAAACTTTTGGAATTTGAAGATTTTCAGATTTTGGAATGTTGTATACTTACAAACAGAAAGAGTTTAAATTGCTGGAACACATGATAAGGAAAGAGAGCCTAGAGAACTTGAGACTCACAGAACATATTAAAGGAAACAGAGGCAGAGGAAAACAGTAAGTAATCTATTTGAGCAAGTGATAATATCTGTGGTATTAATTATTATTGATAATGTTAATAATAAATATTGAGTTGTTAACAGGAAATTTAGCCTTAATGACAGAATTAAAAAAAAGAAGGGGGGCAATAATAACAATTGTACCTGTCCTAATAACTGAGGTAACCATGATAATGATATATATATATACCAAGTATATAATTGGTGTATATGGAATGAATTCCAATAACCAACAATTACTATTCTTAAAAGAGTGCTCAATACAAAGTAGAGCAGATATAATTATTTATTTAGAAAATTTATAACATAAACATGTTATAAAATCACTACAAAAATAGCCATTTTGTTTCAACACTCCCAGTGTCTTATCAAATTGTTTTATGTTCAACATCATCACTTGATTTACCCCGGGAGTTCAAACAAAATGGCTATTTTTGTAGTGATTTTATAACATGTTTATGTTATAAATTTTCTAAATAAATAATTATATTTATATATATGTGCAGAAGTATGCAGAAAAATAGGAAGGAACATGTCAGGTAAATAATCCGGAGTTCCTTAGTATTTTTGTTTTTATTTTTAAGAAGACAGTGCTCCATACAGAAGTAGAGCTTATATTATAATATTTTTTTTAAAAATATGATTCAGAGGAAAACAGTAAGTAATCTATCTGAGCAGGTGAAAGCAACAAGTAAACTACCTAACAAGTTTGCATGACTGGATGGCATAACTTTGTTAGCATGCTGATCTCTCATTCAGTGATAAATGCTTATGTGAATAAATGTTAGGAAATCATGATAACAGGTATTATTTCCTGGAAATCATTTTGTAGGTTAAAATAAATTAACAAGAAATTAAGAAATCTATGATGAGAGAAGCAGATGAGAAAATTATTTGACACATCATTGATTTAGTCAATCAGGAAAAACTTGAAGAAGAGCTAAAAATATCAATTTTTAAAAAATAATGAAAATAAAGTGGGTGTAACAGGGTTGACTCCATGAACCCTGACCCCCCATTCAGAACTGCAGAGAAAAATGCAGGTGGGGGTGCGTGTTTGGTGATGGAATCAGATGTTTCAGTACTTGATAACCGAAACGGTCTTTGTTTATTGAAAAGAGAAATTCTTTGCATAGTGATGCCTTCTTTTACTTCCTTTTTTTTTTTTTTTTTTTTGGCGCTGTCAAAAAAGTTAGAAGCATGAAAGATCTTAAACAAGAAAAGACAATTAAAAAAGTGACAGTAGCGGTATGGAACCTGATAAAGATTAGATCAACTTGCTGTTATGTTGAGCATTTACTATTTAAAAGATAGAAAGAAATGGCTGCTTGAAGGGGAAGGCAATTAGACCAAGTGTACACAAAAGACATGTGAAATTATTGATAAAAAAGAAATTTAAATTAACTTTTTGTAGATTAGATTAACCAAAATAATTCTTTCAAGTTTAAGAATAATACAAATCTCAGAAGATTTAAAAGAGAAGAAAGAATAATAACAATAATAATAATATTTAATAATAACAGTTTTTACAATGTGTCGAAAATTTTGTAATAATAATAATAATGATAATAATAATAATAAAGACCACAAACAAAAACGGTGCCTCCTTGTTGATATAGCAGTCCCTGCTGACTGCAATGTATCTTTGAAGATATTCAAAAAGCTGTCAAAATACAAGGACCTTGAAATAGAAATCTCGAAAATGTGGCATATGGGAACATCAACAATCCCTGTTGTAGTTGGAGCCCTAGGATTGGTTGGAAAAGATTGCAGTAGACTAATTGAAAGGATTCCTGGAAGTCCATGCCTCAAGGAGATACAAAAAATTGTTCTGACACATACTGCCCACACTTTATGAAGGGCTTTATCTATGTCATTTTTTTTTTTTTTTTTTTGTCAGTGAAAAGTGTCATGATGCCATTTGTAACCTTAGGTCCCTGGGCGGGACCCGGAAAGAAATGTGTAAACGCCAGAAATCAAAGAAAATAAAAATAATAATAATGATAATAAATTCTCAGTTGAAAATATACCATTTCTGACCTTAGGTCTCTAGTTGGGACCCAGAAAGAAGTGAGTATACACCAGAAATCAAAGGAAATAAAATAATAATAATCACTCAAACATTGTGATCAAATACCACAAAAACAGAAGATGCTTTCTTGTTGACATGGCGGTCCCTGCAGATTGTAATGTAACTTTGAAGATCTTCAACAAACTATCAAAATACAAGAATACTGAAGTGGAAATCTAAAAAATGTGGCACATGTTGACATCAATAATTTCATTTTTAGTTGGAGCCCTCGTTTTCACTTGAAAAAGCTTCCAATAGACTCATAGAAGAGATTCCTGGTTGTCCATATCTTAAAGAGATACAAAAAATTGTACTCACAAGTACAGCTCACAAATTATGAAGAGTTTTATCTATGGAAACTGTGTGTGATGTTAGTTTATTTTTTTTTATTTGTGGAAAATGTCATGAAGCCATTTCTGACGTTAGGTCTCTGATTGGGACCCAGAATGAAATGTGTATACCAGAGAAATCAAAGGAAATAATAATAATAATAATAATAATAATAATAATAATAATGAATGCCTGATGCTAGACCATTCAAGGTTCTTGTGGCTTCTGATCTTAATTGACTGGAGATATTAAGATGTACATGTTTTGTCTTGGTGAATTAAGATGGGCTACAGTGAACATCCTGTTCAGTACTACTTGTTAGTTGCCTGATCTTAACTAGTTAGGCATGTTCCTTAGGGGCTGATGCACTATACATATCTGTTCATGAGAGGGTGTAATGGAAGAGTATCATGTCTGGGTGCTGAGAGGGTTGTTCTTTTTAGTTAGAAGGATGAAGCAGCCAAAGTGATTTGGGAGTCACATTGAGATATTTGGAGACCGTCTGAGACTATTAGGTTAACTGAACTGAATGTATTTCTAACTGGGCTCCAGCTGCAAAGTCATGAACCAATTTCATTAAAACTGTCACAATATTGTTTACATTTGGGTGTGATGGATGTAGCTGGTATACTCTTATCAAACTCAGTCATGATGGGTATATTGCTATGACACTTGTAATAAAAAGTCTCTTCAGTGTTGGTTGCTTGCTTTACATATAGAGGGCCTCGAGAATTTGAAGTTTTTGTTTATTATTTTAATGGTGTCATATTTTGTGTTGTCATCACGTATTTTCCTGTATTGTAAAGGTGGACAGGAATGTGTCTTTAAATGTTATGTGATAGAACGTGTATCTTATATATATATATATATATATATATATATATATATATATATATATATATATATTGTAAACAAGCATCCACAATTTAAGATATGTAACCAGAAATGGTAAAAATGAAATGTGGTATGAAAGGTTAATCAACTCAAATGCATTTTAAAGTATTGCCACTACATAAATTTTGTTCAGTGTTGGTTGGTTATCATTATCATATATATGTGTGTGTGTATATGTATTTGGGTAGCAAACTTTCTTTCATGCATCTTTCATTGAAAATGGCTGAGGAAGATTTAATTAATCTTTTATTGAGTTTTCCCAGCAACCTAACATTTTTCCATTTTTCAGGAGTTAAAGGAACGTAGGAATTGTCTATAGTTATAATTGTTCCAAGCACTTTCGGCTACTTCTCTAGCCATTATCAAGGATTTATTTTAGGATGGTGAAATTCTGTGTGTGGCTGCTACAAAGTAATTTTACACTGTGAAGTTTGAGTGGTTTGAGTACTTCTTGGTGGTCATATGATATGCTTGACCAGGGCAAGACTTCTATTTTTAGAAGACTTTTAATATACCATCTCCTCTTCTAAATAATGTGAGATTGATAGTGGAAGAATAAATGGGAGAATAGGAGAATAGTAGGAGAATGTTAGATTGCTGGAAAAACTCAATAAAAAATTAATTAAATCTTCCTTGTTGGCTGCTATCAATGAAAGATGCATATGCACATACACACACACACACACACAAACACACACACGCACACACACATATATTGTGTATATATGAGCAACAATTTTTCCTTTATGTTACTTTGACCAGTTCAGTTTCAAATTCTCCCTGGAAACTACTAAAAGGGTTCAAAGTGCGAAAATAAACAAAATATTTTTAGTAAAGAAATTGAATTTGTCTCTGAACAAACTTGCTTATCTCTGTCTATAAAAGGCAGGATGTGTGTGTGTGTGTGTGTGTGTGTGTGTGTGTGTAACAAATGCACGGCCGCAATTTTTGACGGATTTGCATCAAAATTTACATGCACATGCTCCAAGTTAGTGGGAAGGCCAAGACTGACTTTGCATTTACCAACTCCCATCGATAGTGGAAATAATCAATTTTACATGCTTCTACGGCAGTTTTCATGTAGTTTGCAGCCATTTTCTACTGGCCAGCGTGAGAACCAACAGCTGACTAACATGAATGTTAACTAGCTTGCTAGCATGCAAAAAAAATCGATAGCTGCATTTGTCACAAGTGGGAAAAATTTAAATCTGCATGGCACTTTACTCCAATTGGCTCATTTGCTTGCTTAAACTCAACATTGATTCTGACTCCGCAGAAATGGGTTGGGTGTGAAAAAGTATTTGTTGTTAACATTCTTTTTTCATTCGGTTTTTCCAGTTACGAGTCCTTTTTTAAAGCTGATCGTTTTGTGTTCATTTTGTTTAGTTCTTTTTTCGTAACAAATTTAATGTTTAGTATAGAGCTTAGAAAAAATTTGCAGTGTGAGATAAGCAAGAAGTAAGGCATGTAGCAACATCAGCATGGCAAAGGGCACTCCTTTAAAGGCAAGGAAGGGCAAAAATATTTTAAGTCAAGTGATAGTGATTGCTGTATGAGTTGTACGATTTTTGAATCAAGCATGGGCAACGCCCGGCCTTGCTGCTAGTATATATATACATATATATATATATATATATATTGTAACCTAGGGAAGGTTACTGAATAGAATAATCACACTAAGGTTGGTAATGAATGATAATACTCAGGACACAAACAATACATATATGATTTGCCAGCAGTAAATAGAGGTAATAGTCAACTGCTAGAAGTGAGCCAACTCAATTCCACAATGAATCTCCAACCAAACCAGCATACAGTATTTACTATTGTATTTATGTGAATGGAGACATAGCCATTATTGTGCGTAGATATACTACAACAAAATATTAATATATATACATTTTTTTCCTCACTCGACTTTGAGTTTCATGCACAACACAATGTTCAGCTGCTGAACTGAATATATAGGAGATAAAGATATATAATTTTTTATATATCAAGAACAATTTGAAAGGAAAGATGCATGATAAAGTTAAAAAAATTTCATGTGATGTATTTTGTCCTCTAAGCCTTCATTGGACTAATTTTGTTTACACTGATGTGACTACAAGTGCGCATGAATGAAAGATACTGGGAATTTTAAACAAGTTTTTATATATATATATGAATAAATACAAAAGTCAAACTTAACTTAGCTAACACATTTCATCCTCTGATGAACTTTTTCAAGGCAATAGAGGACAAAATACATCAGCTAAGATAAGTTTTCCTTTTCCCTTTATTCGTATTGTACTTTTACAGATATATTTTTAGTTATATCTGAATTTTTACACACATGCATACACATTTATAATAATAGCATCCCAAATTTCCAGAAACCAGTTCTATAAAGTCAAATAATCTTTAGGAAGCTATTCTTCTTATTTTTTTCTTTTCAATCTGATAATGGAAACAAATCACTTTATAGTATTAAAAAGAATTAAACCATTTTGATAATTTAATCAATATTATACATATAGAGATAAATGCAGTAAATTCACTATTATTTATTAAAATATTTCCAGATTGAAATTCTGTTCTCATCATATTTCTGTTCAGGAGGATGATGCTTTTTGACTCTAGTGTCATCAGCTGTGTTATGGTTTCTTGGCCACATTTCAACTGAATTGCTGAGGTTCCAAAGATCTAATAGAAGACCTATCAAATTTATGACTAGAAGATTTGCCACATTTTTAACTTCAAGATAAT